GGAGCTGCTGCCTGCACTTAGCCCCAGAGGTGCTCCTCTGCACGCTGGGCACCAGGTGCCCAGGGGGCCTGGGGCTGTTGAAGGGGTGTGTGGGGTGGGGTGCTGGGTGTGGCTCTCAGGCCAGCAGGGCTTGGCCCCGCTCCGCAGTGACCAGCGTGACTCCTGACTGGCAGCCTGGACCCAGCGCTGCAGCTCAGTAGCTGTGGCACTGGGACAAACCTTGCCTCTCTCCAAGCCTTGATGTCCCCATCGTAACAAGACTAAACATGGTCCTCACCCCAAAAGGGCGCCGGGGAGGGTTACGTGGGGTCATCCCTGCAAGTCTGTGAGCAGAGGGTGGCAGAGACGAGGGAGCTACAGCTGCAGGGCTGTGGGAGGAATGTGGCGCGAGGATGGCCCAGACTGCGTAAGAGCCGTGGCCGCAGCCGCCACCAGGAGCTCCCTGCACACGGAGTAGGTCCTCGCCCGCCACATGTCGAGCATCGCCCAGCGGTCCCAACACCCCCCACAGTTCTGCAGCCAGGAACCTGGCGGAGTGGTCTGCCTGAGTCCCCGAGCCTGGGGGCTGCTGAAGTGTGGTCCCCCAGAGTGGGACCTCAGCGGGGACGGCCTGGCCTGAGTCACACGGGGAGTCCTCTGCCTCTTGGGATGACATGGCACCCACCCTCCGAGGCTCAGGGAAGTTGGGACGGGAAGAGTGGGAAGGGGCTGACCAGGCAGAGAGGAAGGGGTGCCCAGCAGCGAGGACAGGGGATGGCGCAGGGTGCAGGGAGCCGCAGGAGCCCCTGGCAGCCACCCTCGCCCTGCTGTGCAGGGGGCCAAGCTTCAGGGCTGTGGGGTACCCTACAGGAGACGCACCCTGAGCAGGAGCAGGCTCCGAGACACTCCAGAAGGGTTACTGAGTCCCGGTGTGGGCCCCCAGCAACCTCTCCCTGCCCTGCCAGCTCTCTGCAGCCCTCCGCCTCTACTCAAGGCAAACACATGCCTCAGAGCAGAGGGCTCTTCGCTGACCACTGGGCACGCGGAGCAGGGGGCAGGCATCCCAGGTGGAAGGGCGTCAGTGCGCTGCAACTGGAAATGCCAACCCGTAAATGAGAGGTCCCCAGTCACCCCATGATCGGATTTCTCGGACGCTTGTGGAAAGTAAATACTTCTCTCTCCAAAACACATGAAATGATCAAAATCAACGTGGTACGAAGACAGTGTACTGGTTCTCTCACCACTAATGGAAACGGATTGGTCATTGATAGTCTTCACCAAGGCACACACGCCCCCACGTGGGTGTGCACACGCACGCCCAGCAGACAGCCAGGAGATGTACAGACAGGCCCACCTACCAGTCCAGGACACATTTCCTTCTTACATAACCCCTTCCCCAGGGAACAGAACAGAGTGGGTGCATGCCCCACTTTAAAACTTTAAATGGGGATGACCTTAATAAAAATCAGGCAAGAAAATCACAAGCAATCTTATTCTTGAACATGGGTGTAAAAACCTGTTAAGTAAGCCCAGAAAGACATTAACAGAGCTGTCTGTCATGACGCTGGGTTTACCGAGTGCCACAAGTTTGTTTCGAGAACAAGCCAGCGCTGTAATATTCCTCGTTCATTCAGGTTTCAGAGAGGGACTCGCCGCTTTCCAGGCCCTGACCTCAGCCTCCCGGAGCCACGCCTGCAGGAGTGCACCATGCACTTGGCTCCTAGGTGGGCCGGCACTCACTCGGGGCCTCCCGCGGACCTCGGCCCAATGTGAGCAGCACCAACCAGCTCAGCTACCGGGGCTGGCCCTTTAATAAAATTTTTTACGTTAACAGACTAAAGAGAACAATTACGTGATTATCTCAACAGAAGGAAAAACATCATGATAAAAAGTCATAGCAAAATGAGCATGAAAAGACATTTCCAAATCTCTTAAAAAGCATTTTCAGGTGGCATGGTGGTTTAGGTGCTGGACTCCCACATGGCCAACTGTGGTTCGAGTCCCAGGTGCAAAGGCTTGAATATCACACCAAGTATGTGTGTGTGCATGCCCAAGACCCTGAAAAGGGAATGGAGAAGGGATTGTGCCGTGGCCGTCTTCCCTAGGGGAACACACTCTCCCTCTATCTCTCTGTCTTTCTGGGGGTGCACATGCTCTATGGCAAAAACCTAAAAAAAGGAGTATCTTCTACAACTTTCAACAGACACCCGCCTACTGAGGACTCATGGCGCCTCTGCCACTCGCTTACTTATCTGTCTATCTACCTGTCTTATCAGAGAGCA